TAGTATTTCTAGGATCAGACTTGATGTTAAATATTTTTAGGAATTTGTTTAACTCAATCTAACCTCCAGTACCCTGGCTGATCAATGGTAAAATGCAGTAATAATATGTCCTCCTTTCTTCCTTCCCTAAGTTGGTACCCTGTATTAAATGTGTTCTGAGCTTTTTAGCAGAAATTTGATAAAATCTTCCTAGATGGATGATTTCATTTAAATATACAATGCACACACTATTAAATCTACTACAGCCTAGACAGGTATGACGACTATCTCCACAAGAACTCACTTCATTAGCCAAGAATAGATTGCAACCCATTACAAAGTGTTTCAAATGCAATAAGACTACCAAGAAACCCTTTGGCCCTCAGCTTTGCATGAATATGTAAGAAGTAGCTTTCAGACTCTGAAGGAAGGGAGTACTCAGCGAGCAGAGCAGTGACAGATGTGGGAAGTAATCAAGCTTTCAGTGTGTGGCACAAGAATGTACAATTTACCTCCAGTTAAATGATATGCCCTTCAAAGAGATGCCCAAGTGGCCAGGGCTTCTCTATAGAGGCAAGGTCTGAGACATCAAGGTTTGCAAAGGAAAAAATTGACATCTGGGACCAAACTCATGCCTCCTCTGAGATAGGCTAGGATTCCTGATACCAGCAAAAATATGGGAAAAGTTAGAGTGAAGGAGAAAGTGGGAGCTTAGCTAGAGCGAATTCAGGGAAAAATAATTAAGAAATATTTTTCGGTAGAAAAAGAACAGGTATGGGGCTGGGAGGGAGGTGGGGTGGGCAACTGGGAAGAGGAGACAGGGCCCAGGAAACCTAATTGTGGAACAATAGGATCCTAATCAAATGATGTATCATCAGACCTCAGAATTTTCACCTATAAAATGGGAAAAATAAAATCTATAACACTTATATTATTTTTAAATGATATACATGTCTCTATACACCTGTCTTTCTACCTATCTCTGTATTTATAAGTTAGTAGTAGGACTTATACCACTATCAATTTTATTGATTGTTCTAATATAGAAGTCAGAATGTTCTCTAATAAATAAGCAGCATAGTTCACCTAAATCTAAATTTCACTGATCCACCTATTTCAGACCTGGGATCATGCCCTCAGGGAGGTCTCATTATTCTTCCCTTCAGTTTGTCCTCCTGCTTTCACTACAAGGTAAGAGGACATTTTGGATGCTAGGAACATGGCAGGTGGGCACTCACCAACTCCATAGGCCCTTGGTTCCAGCAGCACATTTGCTGATGGAAAATACGATCTCTAAAGAATGCCATTCTAGTCATTACAGGTTATTTATAGCTCCTGACACAGAAGATTTCAACTATAGAGTGAATATCATTATTAACATTAACTCAAATGAACTCTAGAAGAAAGAGGACTACAAAATCCTCATAGGAGGCCCACAGGAGATGTGGTGTTAGAGAACATGGCAATAGGAAGGGGAGGATGAATAAAAAAATGAGAGTGAGCTGTCGAGGCATACACTGAACTTGGGGCTTGGCTTTCTTTTCCCACGTCATTGATGGCCATTTTTTCTGACTGCAGGGTCTTTCCCCTCCAAATTTTTCTGCAAAAGGAATAACAGTCCAGTATCTCTGAAGCAATGCAGGCACTCTGTGCCCTTCTCCTCAGAGCCCTGTGGGTGTTCAAATTCCTGCTTGGAGATACACTCATTCTCCTCCTCACTTTTAAGTCCCTACTTCTTCTGACCTTACCTGCCCCATCTAGCTGTATCTCCAGTAGCCCCCAAGAAAACCTTTTATTATCCCTCTGGAGACTGAATTTTTTTGTTATGATTTTTTTTTTTTGATGGCATGTGTTTTAAGTTTTGGAACGTACACTTACCAATTGAGTGTGTTTAAATTTTTGGTTGGTAATATGGATTTTGAGAAATATGATGTGTGCATATGTGTGCCCATGAAGCTCTGGTGGTACTCTGGTACTATGATTTGGTGGGCACCCATCTGTTCCACCAGTCCTGGGAGGCATGATTTACTGTAGATGCCTTCCATTTGGTTACATTGGACATCTCTTTCTTTCCAAATATGACACCAAAAAAACAAAATAAACCCACCAAGGGTCCCTAACTATCACACCAAAAAAACAAAATTCATTGCCATTGAGCTGAGTCCGACTCATAGCAACCCTATAGGACAGAGTAGAACTTCCCCATAGGGTTTCCAAGGAGTGACTGGTGGATTCAAACAGCTGACCTTTTGCTTAGCAGCTGAGCTCTTAACCACTGAGTCACCAGCAGTTCAAACTATCACACAGGAAACCATAAATAGGCTCAGAATGCTTATCTAGCTGTACAAAAACAAAGAGAGACAAAAGTTTTACCCAGTCACAATTCCTGGATACACTACCTCAGTATAAGCCTGATACCCTAGCTATTCTGCGCCAATGGAAGTTTTCTTTTGCTTTTTACCGTTACATGAGTCCCCACTGAAGGGTTGTAAATACTTTTAGTGGGAAAAATGGCCTCCCAAGAAATGTGAGAGGTGGAAAATGTGGGTGGGCAACCATATAGCCTACCAGGCACTAAACAGTTATAGTTCGACTGGTTTCCTCACAGGAGCCTGGGTGGTGCAAGTGGTTTGCAATCGACTACTAACCTAAAGGATGGTGGCTCAAACCCACTGTTCTGTGGAAGAAAGTTCTGGTGAACTGCTTCCATAAAGATTACAGCCAAGAAAACCATATGGAGCAGTTCTGTAACACATGAGATCACCATGAATTGGAATCAATTTTAGCAATGGGTTTGGTTTTGGTTTTTGGTCTCTTCACAAATCTATTTTGCTCAGTCTTTGTTTATGTCATGTACCCACCTGGGACACCCTCTCACTGAACTCTCTCACTAAATTCTCTAGCCTCTGAACTTCTAATAGCAGTTAGGGTCTATTTCATATAATGTAGTTAGTTATTCATATTGTATTATCTCTTAGTTTGTTTTATGTTCATTTCTCCAGACTTGATTATAAGCTATTTGAGTTAGGGTCCTAGTCTACCCGGCATGGGAGGTGGGGCTATTTTTTCTAATTTGTCCACCCAGAAGGGGTTCTTTCTGTTAATTTGCACAAAGGCAGGCTATAGGCCAGCTTCAGTCTTCTCCTGCCCTACCTATTGTTGTTGAGTTGATTATGACTCATAGTGACCCTATAGGACAGAATAGAACTGCCCCATAGGGTTTCCAAGGCTGTAATCTTTACAGATGCAGACTACCACATCTTTCTCCCACAGAGTAGCTGGTGGGTTTGAACCGCTAACCTTTCAGTTAGCAGCTGAACACTTTAACCACTACGTGGCCAGGGATCCTTTCTCCTACCCTAGGGCTTTGTAATAAATTTCAGACATGCACAGACCAACCTGAGTGTCCCAGACGTCACGGACAGACATGGCAGAAGATGCCTAAGCAGAAAAATAATCTTCCTAGACACCCTGAGTGACACCATTCATCAAATGCTTTCCTTCAGAACACAATTCTTTTTACATCCAGGAAGTTAACACAGCCTTTCAGATGAAGCAGAACAAAAGAGATTCTCCAAAAGAAACAAGAAAAACCCACCATGATACAAATCAAATTTTGAGACAGATCGTTCAGATATAGTTGGGGAAATGGGAGAAAGAAAAGACCAGGTAAGCTGGTTGACCAAGTTGTAGATATCACAGAGAAGTTCAGCTTAAGGCAGTGATTGCTTCCCAGCTAAATTCCATCAACTCTAGCCCTGATGTAGAAGATAAAGACTTGAAACAAATAAATTGTATATCTTTCTTTACCTAGCAGGAGTTTCTGCAAGAGCCTTGCTTTTGGTCCTTTAACAAGTCATCTATGTGTAAACCTGCAGGGCCACCTGAAGGTTCAGACTGCAGTCCCACCGCACCACTTACTATTGGCCTTGTGACCTGGTCATATCACTTGATCTAGTTTTCTCATCAGCAAAATGGAGATAATACTACCTCCCTCATTCATTTATTCATTCATTCACCAAATATTTATTAAGGGTCCACCATAGGGTCGCTATGAGTCAGAATTGGCAGTGAGTTTATCGGCCCAGTAAAGGAGCCCTGGTGGCGCAGTGGTTATGTGCTGAGCTGTTAACTGGAAGGTCAGCAGTTGAACCCAATAGCTGCTCCATGGGAGAAAGATGTGGTAGTCTGCTTCAGTAAAGATTTACAGCCTTGGAAACCCCATGGGACAGTTCTATTTTGTCCTATAGGGTCGCTATGAATCGGAATCAACTCGACGGCAACGGGTGTGCATGTATGGGCCAAGCACATGGTGATCTAAACAAGACATGGTCTGTGCCCTAAAGAAGCTTCCAGATCATCTCACAGAGTTGTTAGTTACAGAGCAGAAAAGTGTCTTTTAATTGTAAAGCACCAAAACAAATACAAGTTCTTCGTTATCAGTGACATCCACTCTTGATCTAGCTGTGGCAATTTTTCTGGGCTTTTCTATTCTCATCCGTAATATTTCTGTTCTAAATTTTAATTACTCCAAATGCAAATGAGGAAGGTAAGATTATTAGGTATTTCTGAATCATGATTTTCTATAAGATTATTAGGAAATAGCTCAGATATACAAAAAAAATAAGAATAATATAGCAACCCCTTGGTGTATCAACTACCCGACTTGAGACAGAAACTACTACATATGGGGAGCTCTATCCGGTGGCATGCCCTCCTTCTTCCCCAGACGGAGTAGCTGTGATGAGATTGGCATTTATTATTCTGAATCGTGGCATTTCTAGGAAACCTGGTGTGTGAGTAAGAACGGTTCACCAGTAAAGAGTTTTTCCTGCCTTTATGTGTTCCTGGTTCTTGATGAATATGAGGTCATGACAGTAGGCATCACAGAAAGCTCAGGCACCAGCCTGTCTTCTCCCTGCCACTTCTACTTGCTGCCCACCCAGCAGACAGAATGAGGAAGATCATGTGGCAGGCAAGGCCTGCTGGCTGCATTTAGAAGGAGGATATTTTTTATATACCTTCAGGGCTTTCTGTGCGGATTCACTGGACCCGATTGCAATCAGGTTAGGCCCGGCCATGCTGCAGAAACTCTTCAGATGCAAATTATTGCCCACTGGGACCATGGAGACCGCATAGTCCTATGCATATAATGGAAAAACAAGCAGTTAGACACTGAAGAATAATTCTAAAATGAATTAAAAACCTGCCTGAGCCACACCTGCTCCACTGGAGACTGCCAGGGGCTCTGCATATCTGGAAGGAAAACTGGGACTCTCAGGCTTTGGCATTGCCAGCTAAATGAAGATTGCTTGTAAGAAGAAAGCGCGGAGCTTCCTTCCAGATGCCTAACTGTGCCAACAGCTTTTCACTTGTTGTTTCATCTATGGAGCGGGCCACTCTGGGAGGGTGTGTCTAAATACACTGTTCAAACTGCGGCTCAGCCGGAGCCTCATATCCTTGTAGGGTACAGAGCTGCTTGTGGGTTATATCCCTTCCTAAGCAGTTTGGCAAGGCAACTTATTGATGGTCATTAGAGTAAAGTGTCCATGACAGGATGTATGTGTAGCATCTAGCACAGTGTCTGGCACATAGTAGGCACCCAAGTAAGGCAACCACTGATTCCAATCCAAAAAATCCACATCTCCATGTTCGAGCCTATTGGTGCTCCAGATTTTTTTTTTTTTTTTAAGCTCTTAATTGTGCTAGGAACATCTGCTGGGTAGTTGTATGGTTATAACTGGGAGAAAATAGAAGATGCTCGTAACTTTGCCTGTTGCTGCTGTGGCAGCCCAACAAAACCTAAGTATTGAACAATTTGAATTTGATAGCTCCTAGAACTCCTACCAATATTAGGAATTATTTTGCAAAGCTGGTGACATATAAACACCGTGATTCATGACATATTGATTCAATGAGTCTATGCACATTTATTGATTATTCTGCACCAGGCATAAATTATCCTTTACCTACCTTAAAAGTATCAGCCAAGATTTCAGCACCTCGTTGATTTGTCCTTTTGGAAAGGCCCACAAAAAATTCTCTGCCTATAATAAATGTCATGGAACAGAGTGAGTGGGTGGCACCAGCTGGCTGTGCACTATTTCTTTTATCTATAAATAGTGACCTCAAAGCATCACGGTTTTCTTCCTCTTCAAAGGGCAGCTCCACTGGTCCTCTGATTCCTGCTCTCTTTACCAAAAACTTATTTCAAACTATTGCTCTTAGAAATAAACTTTTTACTTAGGAAAGAAGAGAATTAAACCAATCAGTAATTGACAGTCAGAAATGAAGTAATAGCAGTGACAAATTAGCAGTACTTCTTTTCCTCCCTAAAAGAACAATATTAGACATTGCTGATGAGGTAGGATCCCTCTTCTTAAAATGATCATGTAAGGCTTGCAGACAACATCTGGGTAAAGTGAGTCTACAACTGACTGGTCTTCAGGTCTGACCCCTGCGAGCTTTGTCTTTAAAACTACACATCCATTTATTCCTAATTACAGATGTTATAACTTTAATCTTCATAATGTCTTTATGAAAGAGTTAAATGACATAGGTCAAATGATGTTATGAAAAATTCCAAGGGCTTATGATGTGGGCAGACACAGGAATCTTTTGGAGCACACTGATAATTTTTTTTTGGCAGGGGGGTAATGGTATGACTGTGTTGCCTCTTAAGAAAATTCACTACGTAATAATCAAAATTTAAGTAAGGGACAGGTCTTTTTCTTGACAAAATATTATTCATTTTATAAAAATGTCAGCTACAAAAAAAAACTTCCTTAATTCTTTTAATATAAAAACAGATTTATACACAACTTTTAAGACAAACATTTAATGTATTAAGCAAGTTATATAAGATTTATAATGAGGCATAAAGATTATTTCCATTTTAAAAGACTAAAGTGTGATAGGAAAGTATAAAGAAAAGTATGCTCCTTATCTCTAACAAGTAAGTTGGTCTTCTATTTCTGGCAATATGGTGACCTAGATCCCCTAAATGACCAATGCAAACAACGAAAATGCTGAAATTGAAATTGAAAAAAAAAATTATGGCTGTTTGTCACTTTTTTTCTATACCACTCTACCTTCTTTTTTCCCCTCCCTCACTCTACTTAATTATAGAAGAAACCTGGTCATTTGTCCTATTGAATATTCCATATTCTGGATTTGGCTGATTGCTTCCATGGGTGTCATTTAACTTGTTCCTTTATCCTCTGTATTTTCAGTAAACTGCTAGTTTCATTTAGATGCTTAATTAGATTGTTATCAATTTTTTTTCTTCTTGACAAGCCCACTTCAGAGGTGAGGCTGTACTTCTACTGTATCATGTCATGAGGTACATGACTGGCTGTCACATCTCCAATGATAATAGATTGATCAGTGGGTTCTGGTGGTATCATCCTGATTCATCCATTATGAAGTTCCCCACCAAGAAATCATTCAGATAATGGTTTTAATATCCTTTGATGATCACTATATGAATCCACTATTTTATTAGGAATCTGCATTTACTGACTGGGATTCTTCAACAAAGAAAAACTTTCCGCAATCACACATCTGGTTTACCTGAAATTGAATTCATAAAGAAAAGATAGGCTAAATGCTTGAGTCTTTCCTTTACTCGTCAATTTTCAGAGTAATGAGATGGTGTCCTAGCAACTTGCAACAATGACCTATAAGTTGTTATTTTTTTTAACATCACTATCCACTCATGGGTCAAAGTTGAAATCATAATAGAAATTAGAAAACATTTAGAACTAAATGATAACAAAATACTCATATTAAAAAAAAGAAAGACTCAGCTAACGCAATACTTAAATGGAAAGTTATGGCCTTAAATAACACATTAAAGAAGGTGACAAGTTCAAGGTTAACGAGATAAAATTCCAACTTGAGATATAAGAAAAAATAAACAATAAAAACAAAGAAAATCTGAAGGAAGAAAATAAAGATAGAAATAGAAAGAGAAAGGAAACATAAAAGAGAAGGTTCAACAAAGCCACAAGTTGGTTCTTGGAAAAGATGAATAAAATTGAAACTTCTGGTAAGGGAAAAAAAAAACGGAAGGCACAAATAAACAATATTATGAATGAAAAATGGGAATAGCAAGAAATGTTGTGAAACTTAAACAGATATTAAGAAGATATGAATAACTTCATACCTAAAATTAAAAAAAAAAAAAAAAACTTAGATGAAATAGATCACATGCTAAAAAACAACTTCCAAAGCCGACTCAGGAGAACCTAAGTAATCATATAATCATTAAAGAAACTGAATTCAGTTAAAAATCTTCCCACAAAAAAAGCACCAAGCTCACAGGATTTGTTTACAGGTAAATTCTACCAAAATTCAAGAAATAGATAACTCAAAATTCACTGATTTCAGAGAATAAAAAAATGGGAAACATTCCCTATTTTAAGAGGCTAACATAACTCTTTTACCAAAACCAGATAAGGATAACAAGAAAGAAAGATTATAGGCCACAGAAATGAAAATCTTAAACAAAATACTAGCAGACCAAACCTAACACTGTATTAAAAAGAGAATATGTCATGATCAAGTTTGGTTTCATCTCAGGATGCAAGACCAGTCCAATATCAGAAAATCAATTAATGTAATTAACCACATCAACAGATTAGAGAAGAAACTCATATAATCATCTCATTGCAGCAAAAGGGAGTTTATCCTATCACCTGAAATTCTATTTCTAGGTGTTTACCTTGAAGAAACTCTTGTATATGTTCCCAGGAGACATACACAAAAAGATACATAGCAGCACTGAAGATAATAGACAAAAACTGAAACATACCCAAATATACATCAGCAGAAAAATGAATAAACAGATTACAGGGTATTCTTACCACTGAATGTTACTTAGCAGTGAAAATGAATGAACTGCAGCTACAAACATCAACATAAATCAAAAGCAGAAAGTCACACGAGTTCATATAGTATAACTCCAACAATATAAAGCTAAAAGACAAGCAAAACTAAACAAAGTATAACTTAGGAATACATATATAGAGATGAAGCTCAAAGAAAGACAAAGCAATGTTTATCACAAACTTCACGGCAGTGGTTACCTCAGGTTGGGAAGGGGGAGCATTTGGGACTGCAGGACCACCCAGGGGCTTCTAAGATCCTAATAATGATCTATTTCTTAAGTCAGGTGGTGGGTACCCAGGTGTTCATTTTATTATTGGTCTTTAAACTGTACATAAACATTTTATAGCTCTTTTTAATGTACTCCATATTTCACAATAAAAATAAATATAAGTAGAGGTAAGTTGATGTTGTATTTTTAAGGGAAGCGGATTGAAACAATTTTTGCCAGTAGCTGCTTGCCTAACTGACATATTTCTCAGCAGGAATTGGAATTGGAAAGCAGCTTTCCTTCTGTCCATTTCTTAATAAATTATTAACGAGGCCCTGAGTTACAGAAGGAAGAGGACACAGCATAATTAAAGTGCTACATACTTCTGTTTCTTACCCAATGCTCTCTAATTAATTGAGAAGTAGGAAATAGAAGGCAAGACTAGAGATTAGGTGCTTCCTTCTTGGGCTCAAAATATAGGTGATTGATAAATGAGGTGCCAAGCAGATAAAGATCTTAATATCCCAATGCCATCTCAGTTTTGAATAAAATAATTATTACGATATTAACTTATGTATTGGATATAGCAAATCCAAAAGTCTATAGATAGCATGAAAGGCAAGCCTCAATGCTGGGCAACTAATCAGAAGTTGGGGCAGAAAGATGAGGCTTGAGATGCTGTGGAAAGACCTTTAACCGAAGGAAGAGATTCCTAATATAAACTGTGCTGTAACATTGAGATTTTAGGGGTTCTGTTCAGATAAGCTGTTAAGATAACTGTATGGCTGTGAACATAGCTTGTTTTAAACCATACTTTAAGTGCTATTAGTACCTGCTTATAATAAGATGTCACTTTGAGGACTAAGGTACACCTGACCCAAGCCATGGTATTCTCCGTTACCTCATATGCATGCGAAAGCTGGACAATGAATAAGAAGGACCAAAGAAGAATTGATACGTTTGAATTATGGTGTTGGTGAAGAATACTGAATATGCTATGGTCTGCCAGAAGAATAAAAAAATCTTCCTTAGAAGAAGTACAGCCAGAATGCTACTTAGAAGTGAGGATGGCAAGACTTCATCTCAAGTACTTTGGACATGTTATCAGGAGGGACCAGTACCTGGAGACAGACATCGTGCTTGGTAAAGCAGAGGGTCAGAGAAAAACAGGAAGACCCTCAACAAGATGGAATGACACAGTGGCTGCAACAATGGGCTCAAATACAGCAAGGACTGTACTAGACCGGCAGTGTTTCATTCTGTTGTACATAGGGCTGCTATGAGTCAGAACTGAGTCGACAGCACTTAACAACACAAGAAGCTATTTATTATATGGTTATTTACTAGTAAAAAAAATAGAAGAGTTTTATTATAGGGAAGTGTGATTTACACATCTAGCTTTAAACAAAGTTATTTTCCAAGAGAAACAGGCCATTGTTCTGTGCTACCAAAGTGAATCAAAGTGTCTGGTGGCAGGCACAAAAAATATTCTAAGGGGAACTTACTGGACAGATTCAAAGATAGCCTGAGTCTGGTTGAGCATGCCAGAGCTGAGAATTCAGCATAGGCCTCCTTGATTCCTTCTTCCGTGTTTTTAAGGCTGTGTTTCTCAAATGGGCATGCCAACCAAACCCCAGAGGCAGGGTCACTGCCTACGATAGTGGTAGCACAGTCCGTTCAATGCACAACTCCAGAGGATACCATTCACACAGGCTGTGATAAGAATGGTGCCCCCGGAAGTTGGGCAGCACAGTGACCCCATCCATAGGTACCTGGTACTGAGCAAAGGTCTACTCAAATGTCACTAGAAAAACTCTACTCACCCTCCTGGAACATTAATTATATCCAAATCTAAGTAATACAAAACATTACTTTTATATTAAAACCAAGATGGCTATATTTCGGCTATATACATGACATTCAACATAAAATTCACATTAGCGAAATAAAATATCAGACTTCAGGGGACCTCATACCACCAAGAAAGGAGCACTGGGAGCAGAGCGCGTCCTTTGGACCCAAGGTTCCTGCGCAGAGAAGCTCCTCGTCCAGGGGAAGACTGGGACAACTAGAACTGTGAGCCATTACAAGACCTGAAGTATCTGTTTAAGAGACTGAATCTGGAAGGATGGTGAAAAACTGAGTATTGGAATACATTTTAAGACAATAAAGTACTATAACGGTAAAAATTCTAGCACGCTTCCAAGGAACTTATTAATTACAAATGGAAACATAAAAATTTATAGTGGAGAAACCTGATAGACATCTTCTTAACCAAGTAATCAGTTTAACAGCACCAGTAATGAAACAAACAGACATCATGTGCCTCCGGACATGATGCACTGAGAAGGACACAACATCATTTTTGCGGCATTCCTGCTAAAAATGCATAACCTAAATCTAATCACAAGGAAAAACAATCCAGACAAATCCAAACTGAGGAACATTCTACAAAGTAACAGGTCCATACTCATCAATAATATCAAGATCATGAAAGACCGAAGAATTATTCCAGATTAAAGGAGACTAAAGAGACATGACTAAATGCAATGTGTGATTCCGATGGGATATTGGACCAGAAAAATTTTTTTCTTCTGTTGTTATACAAGAAGTTAATGAAACAACTGGCAAAATTTGAATATGGTCTATAGATTAGATAATAAATATTGTTTCAATGCAAATTGAAATAGGCCTATAACAGCTAAGTGTGTGCATTAGATGGCACCTGGCCAACGTATTTCTACATACGTACCTGGCAGGAAGGGAACGAGGTCCCTCACCTACAGTATGAGAGGGGTGCAAGCAGAACACCAGCCTTGTGTCGGCTGCAGGGAGTGATCCACTGGCCATGCAGGACCAACACCACTACCCACAACTGAAGCTGACCTTGTTCTGTTCCTTCTCTATGTGAATAAAGTGTTGTTGCATCCCCCCCCCCCAAAAAAAATCAGACTTCTAAGGAACTTCATGCTGTCAGTGGGCCACTTGGAGCTATATCCCCAGCCTCCTGGGGCTCAGCCTCCGTTGTTAGGGCTACTTTGGTGAAACAGGTATTTATTCTCTGACATTTAGGGGAAAATAAACTCTCACTATAAATTAAAAATCACTACTGATAGACTTGCTCATCAATATAACCAGAATAAATTCAGAGATCTAGATTTTAGCACAAAATTTTACAAAACAATAATAATATGATCATAAAGAATCGGAAAGGTTAAATACTAAAATTACTATTGCTTTAGTAGCCATATTATATCCAATGTAAAAACTGATTCCAGTTAAATCAATAATAATAAACTGTTTATATTTTGTTGAGTTCTGCTATTATTCATCTGGCATTAATCCAAGTCAATTTGCATGGAAAAGTATTTAAATTCATCTTACCATCTGGGGAGAAGATTATCTATAAATGACACTAATTTGAATTAAGAAATCTTTTAAATACAAACCAGACATACAGTCATACTATGAAAAACTGCTACTCATAAACTCATGTTGTAGAAAAACATGGTGGAAGCAAGCTACAAAATGGTCTGTACAGACTGATTATATTCTTGTAAAACTATGCAAATACATGCATACAAAAATACTTTAAAAAAATACACCCAAATATTTAAGTGATTCTCTGTGAGTATGCTTTTCTGTATTTTTCAAATTCCCTACACTGAACATCTATTACATTTGTAATTTTAAAGAAAAGACAAAAAACTATAATGAAACAAGTGAATGCAAGCCAGGCATTAGAAATATTTTTAGCTAGAAAAAAAAATACCATGGTACCTGTGAATAGGACATCTCCACCATCTAAAGTTGCATTTTCATCTTTCATCTCGACTATATTCAGTTGAAGTTTTTCTAATGCTTCTTTCATCATGTCAACCTGTTGAAAATAAAATGATTCAGATTAATATCCTACCATTTCCAAACAAGAAAACCAACCATCTAGAACTTCTGAACACTGAACCATGCTTCTTCTCGTGCACATGCACACGCCCACCTACCCACCCACCTTCTTGTGGATATATGTAGTCTAGTGTAGGGTATATCATGATCATTTGTAAGACAGGAAATTATCCGTTAGAAATTGTCTATTTTTGTCCCCATCTAGTCTAAGGTCAAGTCAGTATTATAGTCCTTTATTCTGTTGGAAGGCTGACTAACTAGGACACTGTCGGAGGCTGACTAGCTATGGCATTATTGGAGGCTGACTGGTTAGAACACATGAGTCAAGAAAGGTGGCAGGCATGGTACCCTGTCCCCCTACCCTTGGCAGAAAATGCATGATTTAAATTTTAAACCTTAAGCCAGTTAGTCAGTCAGTCAGTCAGAGTTACACAGACACAGGGCAATACCATATTTTTAAACAAATAACACGTGCCTTCTGTGTTTACTGGCTGCAAACCACACACACAAACACCCCCGCCACGCCCTGTCCCCCAAGTGAGGCACCCTCAAAGCACCTCCATCCCAATCCTCTTCCACATGTTGCCATAAAAAAAAAATTAGCATAGCACACTTAAGAAAATACCTCACAGTGGGGGCATGGCCAGCAAACAAATGCAGAAAGTGCATGTTATTTGCATAAAAATATGGTATATGGAAGAAATATCAATGACAATAACCACTAATGTGAAATCTCACCCATAGGACAATCATTGTTTTATACTTAAATATTTTCTAAAATGTCAGGACAGCCAAAGCTTCTCTGTAAATCTAAACTGTTATTTAAATTTATACTCAGTTAATATAATTTCCTGGCTCCCTAGAAATGATTAACAAGTACAATAACTGCAATTGCAATGAAATTAAAAAAAAATACATGAAGATGAATTTCAGGGACTTTTTATGATTCCAGGGAATGGTCTAAACCAGAGACATTCTGGGCTGAAGCAGGGAACATTTCTAGTGAGGTTTAGTCTAATAGGAAAAAAAAAAAAAATTAAGGCATAACAAATGACTGATAGTCAGAATTTAATTCAAGTCCTCCCAGCAACTCAACAAAACAATTTTTAAACTTTATAACCTTTAACATGGTGAAGACACAGATTGAGAAGACATGAATAGATAGCACATGATCACAGATCACTGGGAAAAGCAGGTAGCTCTGCCAAAATACAGCATGCTGAGTACACATAGTGAATTGTCAATGAGGAGTTTGTTGTTGTTTTTATTGTTGTTAGGTGCTGTCATGCCAGTTCTGACTCATAGAGACCCTACGTACAACAGAACGAAATGTTGCCCAGTCATGCATCATCCTCATAATCCTTACTATGTTTGACCCCATTGTTGCAGCCATTGTGTCATTCCATCTTGTTGAGGGTCCTTCTTTTTCTTGCTGACCCTCTACTTTACCAAGCATGATGTCCTTCTCCAGGGACTGATAACATGTCCAAAGTACATGAGATGAAGTCTCACCATCCTTGCTTCTAAGGAGCATTCTGGCTGTACTTCTTTCAAGATTTTTTCATTCTTCTGGCAGTCCATGGTATATTCAACATTCTTTGCCAACACTATAATTCAAATGCATCAATTCTTCTTCGGTTTTCCTTATTCATTGTCCAGCTTTTGCATGCATATGAGGTGATTGAAAATAACTCTGAAACTTGCCCTTGAACATAGAGTAGCTAAAGTGAAAGGAAGAAATGATGAAGTAAAAAGAGCTGAATCAAAGATTACAAAGGGCAGCTCGAGAAGACAAAGTATTATAAATGAAATGTGCGAAGACCTGGAGGTAGAAAACCAAAAGGGAAGAACATGCTTGGTATTTCTCAAGCTGAAAAAACTGAAGAAAAAAATTCAAGCCTCAAGTTGCAATCCTGAAGAATTCTATGGGCAAAAAATTGAACTACGTAGGAAACGTCAATAGAAGATGGAAGGAATACACAAAGTCACTGTACCGAAAAGGACTGGTCGACGTTCAACCATTTCAGAAGGTAACATACGATCAAAAACTTATGGTACTGAAGGAAGAAGTCCAAGCTACACTGAAGGCATTGGAGAAAAACAAGGCTCCAGGAATTGACAGAATACCAATTGAGATGTTTCAACAAACGGATATAACGCTGGAAGTGTTCACTCACCTCTGCCAAGAAATTTGGAAGACAGCTATCTGGCCAACTGACTGGAAGAGATCCATATATGTCCCTATTTAAAATTATTGGAAATTATCGAACAATATCATTAATATCACATGCAAGTAAAATTATGCTGAAGATAATTAAAAAACAGTTGCAGCAGTACATCAATAGGGAACTGCCAGAGATTCAAGCTGGATTCAGAAGAGGACGTGGAATGAGGGGTATCATTGCCGGTGTCAGATGCCTGAGGAGTTTAGGAGTCATAAATATAGCAGAGTAACTTCTAAAGTAATAAAAATATGGAAATACTTTAACAACAAGCCTCACATTCATGCAGTCAAAAAAACATTAAAAAGGATACAAAGTAAAATAAATAAATCATCTCATCCTTGTCCTGGAACTCATGTAAAAATTCCACGAACCAGAGTGACTCAGAACAATAAAAAATTATTTCCATGGACAAAATGGTCTTAATGTTGTAATAAATACATCTAGTGACCTCTTTTAACAGCCAAATAGGTTTTCCAATGTGACAGGAAGTGGAATCGTTGCTATAGCATAAAAAAGAAGCAAAGCAACATCCTCCATGACTTGTTGGGATACAGTGAACCCAGGAAAACATACAACTGCTTCCTTCTGGCCTCTCTGCCTCTGTGTTCATGGAAAATACACTAGGTCTGAAGAGAGATCATGAGAACTGAGCTACTGCTACCTTTTGTTACCATTATGAACGCTACTACTTCTATTATAACTTAACATTTCAAAGATTACTAGGAATTCAGCAATAACATGGAATTTGGTCTGAAAAGTTTATATGTAACATCTCTACCCGAGGAAATTTATTCAACTTTTAAGAGTTTAAGGAGAACAGAAGTAGGGAGGGTATTATCTGCCAGCTTCAGAGACACTGCATCTCTTTAAAAGTTCTGTCTTTCAAAATTAAAATTTTAGAGGATAAAATGTTTGTGGTTTCTTAAAAGTTAAAACAGCTGTACTGACATTAAAAAACCGGCTTTTGTGCAAGGGTAGTACTTTTTTTTTTTTTTTTTTAACATTCAGTAACATCTATGTAAACAAAATCACCAGGATAATTCCATACCACAAACATTGATGATACTACATTACTTTCAGAGTTAAGTGCATGGGCAAGTTTAAAACATTTTTAAACATCAAGTAAACAGTGTTTGAGAGCTGCAGGGCCATATGGCAGCAAACTGACAATGCTAACCCCAGGGAGATTTCTGGAGAAGAAACAGGAGAGGCTGAACCTGACAGGCTGTCCACTGAGAACCACATATGCTTGGCACAGCGGCTCCAGTGAATCAGACAAACTCAGCTGTAAACAGGCCCAGCGTTGCCCTGACACATGGGCCCACAGCAAGCCAGCCATTTAGGCAGTTAGAACACTAAATATAACTACAGAAGTAGAGATTTTTGCAGGAAGAGATCCAAACCATGAGCCTTCAAGAAACTGCCCATTCTGTGGTTACATAGCCACGGTTAATGTTGACTTAATTAACTTCCAAAAGGAAAAAAAAAAATGGCCAAACAACACATCCACCTTTCATTGAGATACTAACCCTGCCGAGTGGAATTTAGCATTGCTCAGGGCGGAGAGAAACCTTCAGGACAAACAGTATTAATTCCAAAGTCTGAGTTGAAAGGGTCATTTTAGCCCATGAAATTAGAAATAAAAAGGGTAAGTGAGAGAAACAAATCTTAATTAATTTAAACCTTACCTACATAATTTTCCATATTCTAAGGATTTACCAGATCTTTCTTCCTTCCCTTTTCACTCTATATGCTTTTGGTTTCATTTTTTTCTTTTGCTACAGAGTTCCTGGGTGGTGTAAATGGTAAAGCTTGGCTACAAACCAAAGGTTGGAGGTGAGATGCCTTGGAAGAAAATCCTGGTGGATCTACATGCAAAAAATTGGCCACTGAAAACCCCACAGAGCACAGTTCTACTCTGATGCACATGAGGTCACCATGAGTTGGAATCAACTTGATGGCTACTAGGTAAATTCTAGATTCCTTCTCTAGCCACCTCTGCTACTTCCAGTCATCCAACCTACACGTCTTTCTCTCCAGGAGAACTAGTTTTTGTCTTAAGGTAATCATCTTTTCTTTTTATTTTTTCCCTCTCTCTCTCTCTTTTCTGGAGTACTAATATTAAAAAAAAATCTATTTATTGGTGTTGGTTACACATTCACGGTCACTTCCCTGGGAATGTCTGTATAGTACAGTGTTATGATTAAGGGGATGGGGTCAAGTCCTAGCTCTGCTACTTGTTAGCCGAGTGACTGTAGGTTGTTCAGTTTTCTGAGCCTCAGTTTCTCATCTTCAAAATGGATGTTTTTTTAATAACTGCACCAACTTCCTAGGCTCCTCCTAATCATTACATATTAAAAACACTGGGCAGAATCTGGCACATAGTAACTTTTCAATAAATGTTAGATATGACTTATATTATTCTGACGAACTCCATCTTGTGTGCACCAGTGACAAATACCTGTGTTATGAAATTGACCCACAAGAGAAATGCTGCTACTTTTTCTTACATTCGGGCAAGCTTCTCATGTTTTACCATCCTATGACAGATCCCATCTGCTTTCCAGTCAATTAAAATCACAGTCTTTTCTGCAAAGCCAGTGTAATTAAAGCATGTACACTGAAAACACATTTAAATTTAAATCATGTAAAACTGATTCCCTTCCATCTCCTGGAAGCTATCAGGATATGTGGTAGATTTCTTGTATGGTCTCTGCTTTGAAACAGCCCTCTGGAGACACTACAGAAAGAG